GTGCTGGAGGGGTGGCTGAGGGCTCTACATCTGGATCCGAAGGCAGCAGAACTGTGTACCACACTGGGTGTAGCTTGAGCATGCCTCAAAGCCCACCTCCACAGTGGCATACTCCCCCAGGAGGCTACACCTAATCAACAAGGCCACCCCTTATAACAGGGCCACTCCCTAAGGGCCTACAGGGTCCTCTTTTTTTTTTTTTTTCCTTCGAGACAAACTTTCTCCGTGTAACAGCCCTGGCTGTCCTAGAATTCACTTTGTAGACCAGGCTGACCTCCAACTCACAGAAATCCACCTGCCTCTGCCTCCTAAATGCTGGGATTCAAGATGGGCACCACCACACTCAGTTTATGGGGTCCATTTTTATTCAAACTACCACATCATGTAATGTAATATCAAGAGAGTATCAGTGGTTTTTGTATTTAAGTTTTGAGATACTAAAAGAATATCCCTTGAGGAACATTACCACTTATTCTAAAATTTGAAGTGGGTTTGTGTTTGTACAAGGGATAGTTCTATCATGTTTGGTATAATTATGACCTGCTTAAATAGATAATGCTTTTGTGATTGTACACGGGATAGCTATATCTTGTTAAGCATAATTACAACCTAGTTATTGTTTTCATTTGGAAATTAAGCATGACATTAGAGATATGATTGTGTGCCAAGATGACAAATGGTAGACTTGTGACGGCTATTCTTAGTGTCAACTTGACTACATCTGGAATTAACTAAAACCCAAGAGACTGGGTACATTTGTGAGGGATTTTTCTTAATTAAATTATTTGAAGTAGAAAGAACCATCTTTAATTTGGATCTTGTGAGGTAGGATGATCTACCATTAATCTGGACCGTACCTTCTGGTGGTGGCCTATATAAAGGACACAGAAGAAAGCAGCTCTTCGCTGTTGGCCTGCTCGCCCTCACTCTGGCTGGCAAGCCTATTCCTTCACTGGCTTTAGAGCCTACCTCTTCAGGATTCCACTCAATGAATCATAAACATCACAGCTCTAATTTTAAACACATCAAAGCTAAAGTCTTACAACTTAAAAATTCAAGGTCATGGATGTAATCATTAGCAGAGCTAGGATTTGAACCTAGGATCATTTTCAAGGCCTATTAATACTACATTGTCTAATTATAAATGCCAACTATAACTATTAGTGTGGTTGAACTCAAACGAGTAATAGATATTCTGAATAAAATTCTCAGACAGTACCTTAAAATCCAAGTGGCAGCTTAGCACATGCTTTATAATGGATAAGTTTCCTCAGCTCATAGTCTACCCTGGAAAGTGACAGAAAGTATCAGAACAACCTACTCCAAACCCAGGGCTCCAGGGCATGGCTGGAGTTGGGAATTAAGTGATCTTATCAGTCATCAGCTTTTTTGTGGAGAGAAAGGATCGAAACGGGGTTTCATGTAGCCCTGATTGGCCTTGAATTTTCCAGATAGCGGAGAGAGACCTTTAATCTCAGTTTCTCCTACCTTTAGGTCCCAAGTGCTGGAATACCTCATGCATAGTGCAAGATGAGGTACAGTACCATACTTGGCAATAATCCGTTTTCCTTTCTCGCTTGGATCAGAATGAATTCTTCATGTTAGCACATTAGTAGCACAGCCGTCCTCACTGCCACCTCCTTCTGCTTTTTTTTTTTTTTTTTAGCAAGAAAAACAAGTGAATTCCTTCTTCCAAAAGTCCAAGGAAAGTCATAGTGCCCCCTCATTGGCTCTGCCAGAGACCCTGGTCCATCTGTGAAGCTACCGCTGAGTTTGGGCAGTACATGCTAACTGATTAGCTTTGTGTTATTTGATCCTTCCTCAGTTCAGCAGTGAGCCAGCATCTCTAGAACCATGAGGACTCAAAGAGATCAGGAAGGGGTACTTAAGGCAGCAGGTAACAGACTTGCTTATTTATAGGGACTTAATATCCTCCATAGCAAGAAATCCAGAGGCTTGAAGTTCTGGGCTGGTTAAATCTGAAGCTTAGTGATGTCAAGGGTTGACAGGCTCTTCTGTGACCATTTAGGTTTGCCTCCAGGATTACAAAATGGCTTCCACAACTTGTCCCCCTTGGCAAAATGTTAAAGCAGGAAGGAAGGGAGGGATGGATTTCTTCTTATATGCTTCTTCCTTTTGTTCAGGAAAAAAAATATTTTCCAGAAGCATCTCAGAAGACTTGCCTTGTCAGTTTGTAAGGAATAATGGGAGATGGTAAAGGGGCTGCAACCAGCTGTATCTGGGAGGATGTTGGGGATTTGGGTTACCAGGAAGGGGCCGAGAGGGTCTGGATGAATATTATACAAAGGATGTCCATTGAAGCAGAACCAAACACAAAGAAGGTTTCAAGGCCTGAAGTGTACTAGATACTCTATGGGAAATTTATAGTGGGATTCACAATAAATCCCTCAGAGATTTAAGCGCAAATATGAACCACCAGAGTCGGCATGGCCACGTTGCATTAGTTACTTGATTCACTGTAACAAAATACCTAACATTATAACTTAATGGAAGATAGATCTGTTTTAGCTCACAGATTCAGAAAGTTTAGTGTAGCTAGAGTTTTCCTGCCCTGCCCACAGTCAGGACAAATCTTTGTCTCCCGCCAGTCCCACAGCCGCTCAGACCCAACCAAGTAAACACAGAGACTTCTATTGGTTACAAACTGTATGGCTGTGGCAGGCTTCTTGCTAACTGTTCTTATAGCTTAAATTAATCCATTTCTATAAATCTATACCTTGCCACATGGCTTGTGGCTTACCGTGACTCCTTCTGCCTTCCTGTTCTTTTATTTCTCCTCTCTGTTAGTCCTGCCTATACTTCCTGCCTAGCCACAGCCAATCAGGTTTTATTTATTGACCAATCAGAGCAACACATTTGCCATACAGACCATCCCCCAGCACAGCCAAGTGCAGACCATCTCAGACACCTGCATTCAGGCCCGTGGTCCTAATCATCCTCTATTCGGACCTGCTGGGTAAAGCCACAAGGAACCCAAGAACAGGCTCCCACAGGACATACAGAACATCCCACAGCAGTTTGGTGTAGATGTAACCATCTTGTTAAATAAGAAACACAGAGCCAAATACAGAGTCAAAAGCCAAGAGGTCAGAGCAATAGCTAAGAGCTGAGATTAAAAACCTTACCCTTCACTGCCGCTGCTGTCTTTCCTCTCAGCAAGAGAGCTACTTCCTGTGTGTTTGTTCTTTTTATTGACTTTCTGTTCTGCCTTCTCATTGGTTGTAAACCCAACCACATGAGCTCCTCGTCACTGCCCATCTATACAGACCTCCAGGTCTTCTATGGTTGGTATTGAGATTAAAGGCATGTGTCTCCATGCTGGTGGTATCCTTGAACTCACAGAGATCTGCCTGTCATGTGATCGGGATTAAGGGCGTGTGCTACCACTACCAGACTTCTGCTATGGCTTGCTATTAGCTCTGACCCCCAGGCAACTTTATTTATTAACATACAAATAAAACCACATTTCAGTACAAATAAAATATTACCATATTTTCCCTTTTTGAGGGAATAGGAAGGCAGAGGGAGAGACCTGCCAGCCACCGCCATGACAAGCAAGATGTAAGGTACCAGTAAGTCACAAGCCACGTGGCAACTTATAGATTAACAGAAATGGGTTAATTTAAGATAGAAGAAGTAGATAACAAGAAGCCTGCCACGGCCATGCGGTTTATAAGTAATATAAGCATCTAAGTGATTATTTCATACGTGGGTTGTGGGACTGCGGGGGCTTGGTGGGACCTGGAGAGAAGCTCTCCAGATACAGTTTGGTTCCTCACACCAGTGAGGGCATGACAGAGCAGGGCCGCTCACAACACAGGAGACCAGGATGTAGATTAATGGGAAGCCTACTACTTAGCTTCCACCTATCCTAATTTCATTCCACTTGAGGGCACAGCCCACGTGACAGTCCCACCCACATTCAAGGTGAGTCTTTCTCCATCATCTGATCTTCTTTGGAAATAAATACCCTCACCCAGAGGTCTGCGTCACCAAGCCTAATGATGTTAAATCCAGTCAAGTTGACAGTGAAAATGAACCTTTCCACATGTGGAGCATGGTAACTGTTTCCCTCCAACCACACATGCCCTTCTACCGAGTAACGTTGAGCAGATTCTGGAAGAGGCTGTCTTCTCTTCTTGAACCTTGGCTGCCCTCTCCTTGCCTTGACATCCTTCCATAGTGAAAATATGTGTGACATCTGGCCTAGGCTTTAAGGAGCTTTGAAGCTTCCATTTCTGTTTTCTGGGAATCCAGATTCCACACAAAGAGGTTATCTTACCGGAGGGGATGTGCAGAGGGAAAATGGCCCCAGAAAATGAGAGTGAACACAGAAGAGAACCAAGGCTGCCAAACAGCCGCCAGCATGTGAGGGACCCGATCTTGGGTGTTCCAGCCCCAGCTGAGCATCTGGCTGCATGTGGCTGCATGAGTGGCCTCAAACAACACCACATGGAGCAGAACAGCTCAGCTGAGTCCTGTTGGGTCACAAGACCCCAAGAAAACCTTAGTTATTGTTTTAAATCATGAGACTTTGGAGGCCTGTGGCACATAGAAATAGGTGAAGTGGAAGCCCTCTGCTCCCCTCTTTTCAGACTGCCAGTGAAATCGAAGGCTTGCTCAGAACATCCAAGTTTAGTAGAGGTGAAAGCTTGGCGAGAACTCTGGTTTCTTAAGCTTTCACTTGTTATTCTGGTAGTTTTACTTATTTTTGCTTTTGAGATAGGATCTCCTGTGGCCCATATTGGTACTGAACTTAATAGGTAGCCCAAGCTGGCCATCCACATTCCACTTCCCAAATGCTGCACTTAATGGATATGGGTCATTACATCTAGCTCAAGAATGCCTATATCTTTAAAAAAAAAAAAAAAGTAACACAGCTGGGCAGTGGTGGCACACATCTTTAATCCAGCACTTGGAAGGCAGAGGCAGGCAGATCTCTGTGAGTTCAAGACAAGCCTAGTCTACAAAGTAAGTTCCAGGACAGCTAGGGCTGTTACACAGAGAAACTCTGTCTCAAAGAAACAAAATAAATCAATAAAATAAAACCCAAACCAAAGAAAGAAAAAATACTTAAAAAGAAAGTGTGGTGGCACAGGTACTTGGTTGTTGGAGGTAGGGGGGATCAGTTTAAGGTTGCCACCAGCTAAACAATGAGTTTAAGACTAGCCTGGGCTATATGAAACCCTGTTTCAAAAAAAAAAAAAAAAACAGGATGAAGAATGTAGCTCAGTCAATGTAGTATTTGCCAGCATGTATGAAGCCCTGGATTTGATCCACAGGACCACATAAACCTAGCACTTAGGAGGAAGCAAAACGATCAGATGTTTAAGGACAACCTTGACTACACAGTCAGGTCACAGCCATCATGGCTTACATGAGACTCTGCTAAATAATAATAATAATAATAATAATAATAATAATAATAATAATAATAATGAAAACTCATATTTCTGCATTTTCTGTCCTCTGGCATAACTGTTTCATTGTATACAATGGGTGCTCTTTTAACTTCTGCTAATATGCAAAAAGTAATGCCTCCCATTAAATGATTGCTTATTATGTGCTTAGCACAATCCTAAATATATTAGCTCAGGTTTGTTGTGCTCCTGAATTTTACAGATAACAGACATTTAACATTTTAAATAATGGAATCGGGGTGAAGGGAAAACGTGCTTGTAGCCCCAGCATTTGGGAGGCTGTTGGAGGAGGACAGGGAGTTCAAGGCTAACTAATGAGTTCAATAATGAGTTTAGAGTCTGTTGGCTAAGTAGCAGTGGACCTGGATTCCCATCCCAAGATGTGAGACTCTGAAATGTTTGCGCATTAAGCACCATGATCAACAGCCTCACTGACTCTTGGCGGCATCTTCCCAACAGATGAGGTTTTTCTTTCTTGGGTGATGCAGTGATTCCATTCGGCCCAACTCTCATCGTGTCTTAACGCTGCCTTAGGGTGGATATAGATTTCAGGATTAAGCCAGAGTAGATCTGTTTGGAATCTTCAAAGAGTTTTTCGTTACTGAACATTTGCTGTGAGTCACTAGGACGCTTTCTACAGAGTGAAACATAAAACGCCTTGAGTTTTTCATCTCTCAGAAGAGTTATATTCGTGGCACTTCTCATCCCTCCCCCACACCGTTTTCTTACCCTGCATCAGGATTCCTGGGCTCACTGCTTGTGCGGTAAAGGAGGAGACTTGAATTCTGGTTTAGAAACTTTGTAGTCTTGCTGAGTAAGGCTGCGGGGTGGGGATAGGAAAGAAGGGATAAGCAGGAAGGACATTGGACCAATGAAGGCAAAACACCGTTAGGAGTATCTAGAGACTAGCAACCTAAGCCTCCTCTGCCTGTCACTCCGTGCAATGACTGTGAATGACAGGTTGCCTGGGGCTCTTCTGATCCAGACCTAGTGTCCTGACAGAAGGGGCCATAGGCCCCATTGCTAACTCAGGGTGTCCTGACCCGGTCACTCATGCTGCGCTCTACGCACACCACTCCAGAGTTTTAGAAAGAGGCAGGTATAAGACATGGTCATTGGTGCCGAGGGTGCCGTCCTTTCTCCGGGAGGCACAGAGGTGAAGACACATGAACAGCTTTCTGAAAACTGAACACAGTAGCAGGCACCATGGAGCACAGAGCTGGGCAGCATCTGGGGGAAGAGATGAGGCAGGTCTGTCAGGAGAGGGAACAGCAACCACAAAGGCAGGAAGGCAGAAGCAGAGAGGCACCGCACACCTAGGGAGCACTTCCCCACTCCCAGTGGCCATGCCTAATGCAAGTCTCTTCCCTGGAGAAAAAGGAAGACTCACCTTGTGTTGGATTTTCCCCAGTATCTCATTTAAAATGAAACAAACACGCAAACAACAACAAACCTCTTACTTTTGATATTGTTTTTGAGACAGGATTCTCAAAAAACAAATAGGAGTCTGTAGCTCAGGCTAGCTTGGACCTCCTCCCAATGTAGCCTAGGCTGGCCTTGATCTCATCCTCCCAAGTGCTGGAATTATGATCGTGAGCTGCCAAACTCAGCTTCCACGTGACCTCATTTTATGAGATAATTTTCTAGGTAACTTGATTTTAAATGAAAAAAAATTCCATTTGGGGAAGAAGGTAAGATGCAAGAATGACGGGGGTGGGGGGAGAAAGAGGAGGAGGAGGAGGAGGAGGAGAGAGAGAGAGAGAGAGAGAGAGAGAGAGAGAGAGAGAGAGAGAGAGAAGAGAGAACAAGAGAGAGAGAGAGAGACTTAGTGTTTTTTGCATGGCTTTGTCATTTAACCCTCAAAAAGCTTGCTATGACAAACACTGTAGAAAACCGTGACGATTACCCGCTCTGAATAATTGCACTTAGTGTTCCAAAAGTGGCCCTCAGCCAGGTGTGATGGCCTCCACCCCTAATCCCAGCACTGGGGAGGCTAAGGCAAAAGGTTTGAGCCTTTAGGCCAACTCAAGCTACTTAGCAAGGAAGAAAAAGTGGCTGTGGCGATGTTGAAGAGTCGGGGTCACTAATGACGACTGGAATAAAATCATTTCCCAAAATCTCATAGGCAAAACAGAGCCAAAGAATCAGTATTTGGGGGCTGGGAGCAGAGTTCAGCGGTACTGGACAAAATTAGCATATATAAAGCCCTGGATTCAATCCGAGCACAAATAAACAAATAGCACCCAGGTAACAATGACAAAAGTCAATATTTCAAAATATTTCATGTAATATTTAACTTAAACTATATTTAATAAAGTATATTAAATATTAAAGTAGATAGTGCAAAATTTCAGTTTTACTCCTATAATGCTGTTGTACTTTCAAACTGACTATAAAATTTGGCATGGGGGCTGTTATGAGAGAGTGAGGGAATTGCCTTATCTGGGCAGTTATCTGATCTAGCACATACTTTGGCTTGGTCTCTGGAGCACCAGGGTATAGGGCTGAGGAAGTAGAGACAGATAATGTTGGAAGGAAGTTAGGCGGTCAAATGAAACCCAGTTCAGGGATGACGATGGGGTGACCTGTGTGTTCAGCAGATGAGGCTGCAGTAACTGAGTTTCAGGAGAGGTCTTCTGATGGCAGCACAGAGCAAAACCTTGCTCAGTTTTCCCTGAGCTTGTTTCACAATCCAGATCATGTCTGACATCAGGTGGGTATATTTGAGGAGCCGGGGCATTTTCTTCACACGTCAAGAAAAGGCTTCCTTAGTTCTGCAGTGGGTACCAGCTGTGGGCCCTTCACTATAATTCTGGTACCTTCCTGATGATAGCATCCTATTCCATTAGGCTCAGCCCCCAGGACTACCACCCCCCTTCAGATGCCAATCACATGCTGCAGGTTGTTTTGCCTGGGTTTCTGGCTTGCTGGATATAAATCCTGCTCCTCGCAACCTTCCTGTCAGTTTGATTAATGTGCTAGAGTGGTTCACAGAACGCAGGCAGACACATTTACAGTTTTATGATAAAGGATACTAATTCAAAGGTTCTAAGCATAGAGCAGCATGGCTAGAATCCCAGGAGGCTATAATCAGGAGGCTAACACAGCGGGATCCCCTCAAGTTCCAGGCTAGCTTGGGCTACATCATATGACCCTGCACGAAAAAGAAATCAAATGAAACAACAAACCAACCAAGACAAAGGAAACGATGAATGGGCTAAGGCATAGATGGTGACCTGGACCAGTGGGTCAGTCTTCAGTGATAGGGTCCTGAGAGGGTTTTGCCTGGGATGAAAAAGATAAAGAAGATAGATGGTAGAGAAAATAAAAGCTGGGGTTGGGAGGTCTTGCACAAGCTGTGCCTTATGCCAAGCAAGTTATTAAGAAGTACAGCCTCCCATATACTATTTTCAGGGGAAATCACCAAGGTCAGCAGAGAGCTAAATCAATCAGACAATGTTGGCAAAGAGAACACAGGATACTGTCTTAGTTAGGGTTACTCTTGCTGTGAAGAGACACCATGACCACAGCAACTCTTATAAAGAAATCATTTAACTGTAAGTGGCTCACTTACAGTTTCAGTCCATTATCATCATGACGGGGAGCATGGCGGTATGCAGGCAGCCATAATGTTGGCCACATCTTGACCAGAAGGCAACAGAAAGTTGACTGAAAGTCACCCTGAGGGAAGCTTGAACCAAAGAGACCCCCAAAGCCCACCCCCACAGTGACACACTTCCTTCAACAAGGCCACACCTCCTAATAGTGCCACTCCCTTTGAAGGCTATTTCCTTTCAAGCCACCATGGATGCCTTAGATACAGTTGCCTTAGGATTGATAACCACAGCCCAGAAAGAAGAGTTGGGTCTCCAGAAATTGAAACCTTGACTCCTTTGAGGCACAGGCTCCAGCCTCAGACCTGCCTTGCCAAGTCCACTCCTGAATAATAACACAGAACTAAAGTTTACTTTGTCCTTACATCAAGACAAAGTCTTGGACCAGTCTGACTCCCTACAATATGGCTGGTAAAAGAAGCTTCCATGTACTTTCTGGGTGTACTACTCCCCAGGAATATCCATGAGAAGCTCTGCAGAAGCTCTTTGAACCCTATCCTTTTCTTCTTGGAGACTCTTATGCACAGGTGTGATTGGACTAAGGCCAACAGTTGTTACTGTGATTCATAGACTGAGGAGAAAACCCATTGAGTCCTGTTCATTCAGTTGCTTCTTGGAATCTCTGTGTAGCATTCCCTTCTCCCAGGCATGAGAGGGGGCCTCTTAAGAACTGATTATCTGCTGGGTGATTGGTGTGCATGCCTTTAATTCCAGCACTCAGCGGAGGGGGGATGGGGGGTAGGAGGATGGGGGATGGGGGGTACAGAGGCAGATGGATCTCTGAGTATGAGGCCAGCCTGGTCTACAAAGTGAGTTCTAGGACAGCCAGGCTTACACAGAGAAACA